AAAAAAGAAAAAATGCTGCCAGTTAAACTCTGATATCAACTGATTAAAATATACATCCCATTTCAAATATGTTAATTTTGTAAGAGCATCTTAGATTCAGTGGAACATGGTAAGCCATGTACATTCAAAATGATCCCCTCTTTAAACCACCTGCAAAGTTCAGATTCGTTTTTAACTGTAGCACACCTGTAGACAATCCCTTGGTTTTGAACAGAATTGTGCTTGCAAACAGTCTTAGACAAAAAAAATGGTGACTTGTCTACCTAGGGTCCTTCCTTATCTTGGAAGTGTGTTCTAGAGCCCAGACGTCCTCAAAGCCACACTTCTCACATGTAGAATAAACCACCCAGGTTCAGTATCTGCTTAATAGGTCCCTGGAAACCCAATAAAAGCAGAATCACTCTGAATTCACCCCCCTTTCCCCACAACTGTTAGGGCTTTTGCTGAATGCCAAGTTTGAGGATCATGCAATGAAAGAGCCCCTCCATGCTGGGGTCACACCCTGGGAGATGAGGTAGGGCTCCTCCAAAGGAGCACCCAGAACTTTTTGTTTCACCTATCTGTGCTACAAAAGTTACATCCCTGCAGATTATGGGGAAGAGGAAAGGCAGTGTATTCTACATCTGGGCAGAATGGCAACTTGCAAAAACATGCAATAGCTGGGGTTGTCAGCCCCATAGTCATTCATCAAGCTGCCCTGAATTGAGTTCTTTTTCCTCCTTAAACTATAAAACCACAGTTAAAACGAACTAAAAATGGGACTGGTGAAAGAAGGGGCGACCGTGGCATTTTTGTCCTGAGAGCTTATCTGCCCCAGGCAGACATAATGGGGTACAGACGGGAGCCTTCTCACTAGTCCTAGGATAGCCAGCTTCAACGCTGGGGTGAAATCTCTACCCTTTGCTGTTTAGCAGCATTAGGATGAAAACAGTACATAGTGGAAAACTGAGAAATCACGAGCTCTAGACTAAAGCACTCCCTTCCATCTAATGAGAAACACAGGGCAAAGTCTAGAGTGTCATCCTCATGTAGCTGGCATGGGACAACACGGGAATTGCAGCAGCTTTGCAGAGAACACCGCCCTGCTGTCTGGCTTGCACTTGCCGATTTCTTCTCCTGTTTGCCTGGATTTCTATCCTACTGGGGCTTCCTCAGAAAAAGGGAGGTTTAGTGAAAGAGAATGGGACTGCGCAGGGGCCAAGGTGGCCGCATTTTTGCCTGCCTGCTTCTCATTGTTGAGTCTGTTCAGGTTGTTTTCCACTGTCAACTGCAGCCCCTCTCCCTCCATGCTACAGTGAGGGCAATGTGTAAGCTCCCAGCTCTTCTACCCAGGCAGGCCACACAAGTCAATCCCCGCCTTGGACCAAGATGGACCATGGGGAAGGTATTCCTTTACAAGGGGGCCTGGGAACGGGACAGGTAAGGTAAATTATACCTAGTAGTTGGCTTGGTGCTTTTCCCATATTTCTCAGCTTTTCACATAAAAATAATGGCCTTTTCTAGACACCAAGATAATAGTAGCTACGTACTTCTTTATAGAGTGCATACAGTGTGAAAGCACTGTGTTAGATGCTCCGCCTGTGTTACCGGAATTAACTGTATTCCCACTTTAGCTAGAGAGAATTAGGTAACTTGCCAGGGTCACATATGAGTGTGGCAAGCTTCTACCCACTCACCTGAGATGAGGTAGGATCTGTGTGGCAGAATTCCCGAGTCCCAGGGGACTGCTCCTATGGGAGCAGGGAATGCTGGGAGCACGGGCAGGGGCTGGGAGAGCAGATGCACTGACAGACAGCTGCCCAGGTAGAACACCTGTGACCCTAGTCCAGTGTGTGCTCCCTGGGAAGTGTGACCCTGACCCTAGTAGGACTGTGAGTGAAAGGGAACAGCTTAAACGAAGGATGGAAACAAAATAGAGAGGAGAAGGAGAAATGTGAGTTTTCTAGGCTATCAACATATGAAAGAACTATCAACATTTGAGGAGTGAGAAACCAGAAAATGGAGAGAATTTAGTCAAAGTACTAGAAAGGGGCAAGAAAATGAACCAAGAACCAGGAAGCTACAGGCAAACTACAGAAGTCTACAAATAATTTGTATAGTATAAGCTAAAGTCATCTTATTAGAATTTGCGGTGGGGGCTACCTAGATTAGAAATAGTATCCTATCATTTATCCCATTTTCAGCAAGAACCCGTGTAAAACATTTCTAGAACAAACCATAAATTGCACAAGGATGTATTAACAAAGAAAAGGGTTCTTTTTTTTTTTAGAACTGAAGCCTTCTGCCCTTTGTCACAGGGGGACCCAGGAAACCCAATGATGTGCCAGCTGCAGCAACTGAACCTGTGGGTGCTGAAAGGAATCCTGTCCCAAGGTGGCGAGAAATGCCCGGGCCTATTTCTGTACATCAAGGTGGAAGACTACAGTGACTGGATCACATCCAAGACTCAGAGGACCAGCCTCCCCCTGTCTTCCTTCCACCACAGGGCAAATTCGGTTCCTTCCTCCAGCTACTCATCATATGTCGCTGTGACAAAGAAGAAATATTCTAGGCTGGGCCAGGCTGTATGGTCCCCACCACACTTCCAAGGACAAAGAAGGGCCACCATACACTCACGGGCAACAAGCAGCTCTAGAGAGAGTCTAGACTTTAGGGTAAAGAGTCTAAGGAAGTCAGGCAGGTCTCCTGAGGTGGCCGTACAACCCATGTACTATGACTATTACGGTGAGGACACTGAGTCTATTTCAGGTCGGAACAGGTTACATCAGCCCCAAGAAATGGTCTTGTTTTGCTCTGTGCTTGTTTCTTTTGCAATGGTATGTAGTCTAGGAGATAACCCTCCAAACTGAAGAGCGCGCTCAGGATGCTGAGCGCTAGGCATTCACCATGATGCTGTGGTGTCTATTTTTGACAGTTGCCCACCTGGGCTGCCACGGACAGGCCCATGGCACGTACTGGGCTGACTTTCCCTCCTCTGTCCCACTCCCACATGTGGGAAGGTCACTTTCATTTGTGCTTGTGAACTAAATGTGGGCTAACAAGTGTCAAACCATTAGAGTGCCCTGTGGTTCTTTCAGTGTTGAGGGTTCCTTCCAGGGTCCAGGCTGTGAAAACACTCCCCATGGGCAGCTGGGGCCTGGGAGTGACCATCAGCCTGGCTGGAGAGTCAGGACTCCAGCCAGCACAGGGAGCAGTGAGAGGACCCCATGACTAGAAAGAAGCGGATTATTTTAATGGATTGCTTTTTATTCTACAGCCGTGGACTCCCTCTGCCTATTTCCCAGGGGGGGGAATTGCCAGCAACTGTTCATTGGTTGTTTTCATTTTATTCCAAGCCTTGCGGTAGCCTTTTAAGGACATCTGCAAAAAACGAAAGAGGGGAGAGGGGAGAAGGTCATTTGGGAAAAGCCAATTGTGACTATTCAGAATGCAACCCGCACCCCGCCCTGTGACGGTGACCCTGTGTGGGGCAGAGCCTGCTATGCATGCTGCAGGGTGCCGGCCACCTAGGGGCATCTGGAAAATTCGTCTAAAGAACTAGTTTCTGTTCAGTCAGGTGAGACATTACAGGTTCCTGCCATGATTCTCTGCTACTTCTCAGCTCCAGATCTGACGGGTCCAAGTTTGGATCCTAATTTACTTCCTGCCACCAAGTGACCACAGGAAATGGAGCCAGGGTCTAGATGTGAAAACACCATGCCTCCCAGGTGACCTGACTGGGTGTTTAAGCTCCTCTGATGATGTCTTAAGTATGCTCAGTATGTAACCTGGCCTGTGGCAGAGTCTGCGCTTTCTTTTTTTTTTCTGACGCTGGCACATTGTCTGCACACTTCCTGCTTCTCTCCCACAGCTCACAAAAGGTAGGGGGCTTCTGTGTCCATGGTAGCCAAAAAGATCCACAGTGACTATGTAAACTCACGGAATCGGGCTCTAAGGGATATTAAAAATCCATTACTATCTCATTTTTTTTAATTGGCTTCTCCATCCATGTATAAAGTAGCAATCCCTAAATTCTCAATGGTGAGGGAGGGGTTAAGAAGTTTCTAGGGCCGGCCGAGTGGCTCAGTTGGCTAAGAGCTTGCTCAAGAGTGTGAGCTCTGAACAACAGCAGTTCGAGCCCCAGCCCGAGCTGAGCAGCCACTGAGCTGCCAACAGGTGGCAGGATGGCTCAGCTAAAAAAAAAAAAGAAAAAAGAAGTGTCTAGAATTTATTAAGAAAACAAGCAACGAAAAACACACTATTATGACAGTCTCTTCCCAATAACCTGAAAAGACCCCATCCGTAACAATGAAAAAGAAGTTTGTTTGTTTAAGGTTATCCTTCATTTTTGTATAAGAGCTGAAACAAGTGCTGAGATTTCTCACAGATGTTCCACGTTCAAATATCTGTATCCTTAGCTGGAAAAACAAAACCCTAGACGAAAACTCTAAGGGCATGAAAGCCTGCCCGGGTTGGGCCTCTCCGGGACTCACCTCTGCAATCTCCACTTTCCTTTCCCACACCCTGATGGTCTTCTCCAGGTCCTCACTGAGCATGCTCTCTCTGATATACAGCATCACCGGCGGCGTTTGGAACTCTGCCATTTGCTTCCTCAGCTTCTTGTTCAACGCCTCAGCTTTGGCCCGGTCCTGGGATGGGAAAGACCAATTCGACCCAGAAATCCCAGATCTTTCTGGTCTACTGGGACTTACTGGCCCTCGTAGCTCTCCCCAGTTTCAGGGTAGTTGTAAAAGTTATGTGTAAATTTTCAAAGGAATGAGGGGAATCACAAAATTCTGATTTTTTTTTTTTACAGGCGGTGATGTTCTCATTCAGTTCAGAAGTACAGTCTAAAACAGTCTCTTTTCCTTCCTTCTTTTATTAAGAAGTATGTGTTTGTTATTTTGATCACTTGTTTGGCTCTTTCTTTTTGAGGGGTAAAATTATGTGTTGAAGTACATTTTGGTTTCATCAGTCTCAATTCAGTTTCCTGTCTTCTTTTTGGTAACTCAAATCCACGTGAAGAAAACAAATGGCACAGGAAAGGTATCACAATTATGTAGAAAATTATAAAATACAGTATAATTGCATAGTCTCCTTAACAAATTTAAAAAGTAATTTCATAAAACAATATGTATATACAATAAAACCTTGGATTGTGAGTAACTTGGTTTGCGAGTGTTCCACAAGATGAGCAAACATTTCTAATACATTTTAACATGGTAAACAAGCGATGTCTTGCAATATGAGTAGTTTGTTTCCAGAACAAATTATGCTTGCAAGCCAAGGTATTACTGTAATTGTATTTGGGACCTGTAACATATTAAAATGTAAGATATTTGACAATAACAGTGCAAAGGAGGCAGACTGAAGCAAAGCTGTATTTGCATGAGGAAATAACACCTCATGGTAACTCAAAACCACCATAAGAAATGGAGAGAACCGCAAATGGTTAATAGGAAGGTTAATATAACAAACTCTATAAATACACTTCCTCTCCTTTCTTTTTTCATCTTTTGGACCCCTTCCTCACACCATTTACAAAATTAACACAAAATGGATCATAAACCTAAATGTAAGACCTATAAAACTCTTAAAAGAAGACACAGGAGTACATCTTCATGATATTGGGTTAGGTGTTGGTTTCTTAGATATAATACCAAAAGCACAAGTGTAAGAGAAAAAAGTAAATAAAGTAGACTTCATCAAAATGAAAAACTTTTGTGCTGCAAATAGTGCCATCAAGAAAGTGAAAAGAAAACCCACAGAATGGGAGAAAATATTTGCAAATCATATATCTGAAAAGGGATTTCAGTCCAGAAAAAGAATTATTAAAACTCAATGACAAAAGATAAATAACTCAGCCAGCCGAATGGAGTGTTGGTTAGGAGTTGGCTTGGGATGCCAGCTCTGAGCAGCAGGGCCCCCGGGTTGGATCCCACATGAGGGCCAGTGACACTGCGCCCTCTATAGCTAACATGGTGAACAACAGCTCAACCTGGAGCTGGGCTCCCATGAGACGCCGGCAGCAGTGTAGGCTGCAGTGTGGCTGGCCGGCAGCATGCGTCAGTTTTCATGAGCTGCTGTCCAATGGCCGGCGAGCAACTGCCTCACCTGGGAAGAGCGCAATGATAATACCAACATGGTCCAGTGAAGCGATGTCCTCCACAACTAGACTGAAGAACAAAAGGACAGCAACTTGTCTGTTCCCTTTCCCAGATTCCCCAACGCTGTTCCCCTCTCCCAATTCCCCAATAAAATCTTTTTTTTTTTAAAAGATAGCCTGATTAAAAACTGGGCAAAGGACTTGAATAGACATTCCTCCAAAAAAAGATAGACAAGTGGCCAATACGCACATGAAAAGATGCCCAATGTCATTAGTCATTAGGGAAATTCAAATCAAAACCACAGTGAGATATCACTTCACACTCACTGGGACAGCCATTTTAAAAAAACTAAAAATAAGGGGTGGTGAAGATGTACAAACATTGCAAACTTCACACATACCGTGTTGATGGGAATGTAAAATGGTGCAACCACTTCACAAAACAGTTTGGCAATTTCTGTAAATGTGAAACATAGAGTTTACCATATAGATACCGCAATTCCACTTTTAGCTTTACATTCAAGAGAAAAGAAAACCTACATTCACACAAAAACTTGTATGTGAATGCTTATAGCAGCATTATTCATAATCGCCAAAAAGTGGAAACAACCCAAATGTCAATTGATGGTGAATAAAATGTGGTCTAGCCATACAAGGAAATATTATTCAGCCATAAAAGGAAATGCAATACTGATACATGCTACAATATGAATCTTAAAAATATTATTAAAATTAAAGAAGCTAGTCACAAAAGACCACATATTGTATGATCCCCTTTATATGAAATGTCCAGAAGAGGCAAACTTACAGAAACAGAAAATAGATTGCCTCAGGCTGGAGGGTGAGGTGAGGTGAGGTGGGGAATGGAGAAGGATTTCTAATGGGCATAGGGTTTTTTTCTGGGGTGATGAAAATGTTCTCAAATTATTGTGCTGATGGGCACATAATTCTGTGAATATACTATAAATCACAGAAATGTATACTTTAAATGGATGAATTATATGATATGTGAATTATAGCCCAATAGAGCTGTTAAAAAGGTTAACAAGAAAACAAAAATATACTAAGCAGCGAATGCCAGGCTTTTAAAAATGGGTTTCATGTTTTACTTGTAATTTAATATCAACCCAAACAAATAAGTACCACAGAAGTTCTGTTTTTTTTTTTAAGATTTTTTTTTATTGGGGAATTGGGGGGATGGGAACAGTGCTGGGGAATTGGGGGAAGGGGAACAGACAAGTTGCTGTCATT